AAGGGTATGTGCTTTAACTTAAAAGCTGGTAAGCTTCCATTTTATCATATCAGCCTTTTGATGAACACTGTCCAACTGCTGAGATGTCCCGCAGGGTAGAAGCCACTAAACCCGCAGGGAGCTCCRGGAGCTCCTGCACACCTCTTCTGTTGCACATACCAATTCCATGGAGTTTCCTAAAGCCTGGGGATGTTTTTACAGGCTTCTTTTCTTGGAATATATATATATGTTTATAAGGGTCTTGCTTGAAACATGAGGAACATTGGCAGAAACATGTTGCAGTTTGCTCTGCTCCTGCTGTTTTCACACCACATATGCATGTCCAGTTTTCTGTTGCCCGAATCAGAATGAAGAGTCAGTAGAATGAAGAAATATTACACCCCCCAACTTTGCCAGATACTCAATTGAGTGTTGTAATCAAATATCTTTTCTTCCTTTTCACACATTTCCAGTTTGAAAGACAATAAGGAAAGGATTTTCTTCACTGTTTGCTAGTCTGTTTTTTTTTTTTTTTTTTTTTTTTTTTTTTTTTTTTTTTTTTTTTTTTTTTTTTTTTTTTTTNATTCTGAGTGCTTGCCCCAGATACCAAAGCCACCACTCCCTATTGGACCTATAGATGTTCTCTCTATCCTCTCCAAGAAAACAAAATCCATCTGCTGCTGGAGAGGATTCTTCTGCAGACCTTAGTAACTGGCTGCAGAGTCTCGGTAGCCAAGTCAGAGCTCGTAGGGCTGCCTGATTTGCGGGATCCAAAAGTCATTGGCATCAGCTAGAAGGCGGGATGAAGTGGTTGATCTTTTTTCAGATGTTAAAGGGTAAATTTTTGAAAAGAAACAAACAGAGCAAGGGATATAGTTGGGAGCAGGTTCTCAGTGAGCACTAAGACCTGAATGGCCATAACATTTGAGCTGTATTTTTCTTATTCTCATGATCTACAGGTACTGAAATTCAAAGGATATTGTATAATAATAATAATAATAACAATACTCTATTAAAGCCTCCATTTGGGATGTTGAGGGTTTTCTTCTCTGGCATTCAGCTTGGAGTGGATTTTTGACATCACCTCTAAATTCAGAGTATTCTATGGTGTATTTTTTTAGATGCATATTTTTGAAATAGAAAAGGTTAGAAATTGGTAAATCTTCATGCATGCTTAATAACAAAACAACCTTCCTGTTTCCTCCCCTTGCTAAAATGCCAGGTGAACCATGATCTGATTTTCCTCTATAATAAAAACAGAATCATAGCTCTTGAAGCATTATTCTTGGCTATCAGCAACCTAAAGGCATGCAAACRTTACCCATTCAGCTCTGCTATACAGTTTAATTGGAGTGATTATGTCACAACATCACATGCTTGTTTTCCAGCTTTTTGACTGCTTGTCCATCGAGACATTTTTGTAGAAGTAGTATTGGTGATTGTTGACTTTGGAGGTAATGGAAGAAAAAATAATTATAGAAGAAAGAAAAAAAAAAAAAAAAGCAGACAGTACCACTGAAGTAACTGTGCTGCTGTCACTGCAGAAAGAATACTCCTTTCAACAAATCTATAATTTGCAGAAGTTGCAAAAAGAAAATAGCCGTAAGGTGACTGTTAACATAGTTCAGTTCATCCTGCCAAGAAAGTTAACTTCATAAAGTCATTAAACCAGTGATTACATTTTAAAATATTATTCCCCAGCCATTTCTTCTTAGACGTTAAAATACAGTTACTGTATATACTACCTTCTTTGTAATGTGAAAAATTGTAAAATACACTTATTTTTCATAAACTCCTAATTATTAACAGAGCTATTTGCGCTGCTATAGTTAAAGTCATTTCAACACTTCCGTTATTAAAACTTCACTTTTAGGGGTTCATAATTTAGCTGCAATAAAAAATATATTCAGATTCTGAGGTCTTAAATATAGCTTTCTGATATTGGGAAAATTTGGGCTGTTTCTTCTTAAAGAMGCTATGATAACTTGCTCTTCTTTGAATGATCCATAATAAAATGCCTTCTGTCAAAAGCTAAATAACCCAAATAATTTCAAAAATTTGGGGGAAGAAAAAAGAGCATGTTGGGACCCAAATTTGATACCTGGTACCCAGTATGGCCAAGGCTCAAAGAGAAATTTTCAGAAATTATTGGTGTATCTCTACTTTTGCCTTTCCACGATTGCTATTGCAGCATCAGGTGTGAAAAGTCATCATAGCCCTTAAAATCATAGATATTAGCTGCAGTTCCTGGCAGCAGACCTGCTGCCAAGGAGCTAAAAATCCACGAAATTAAGGAAYTGAAGCATATTACATATTAACGGTAGCTCTGGGACAGTCAAACAAGATAGTTGGCTATAATGCTAATTATAGTGGARCGCTCGTGTTGTGGTTTGAATGAGTCAATTATGTGTGCGTTAAAACTATAAATACATCTTCCCCCTCAGCCTAGGCTGTGTGGGATGTAATTTTTTTTTAATTGCTTGGATACATATTTACCTGAGTATAGCCTGGTTTCCCAGGTAAATATGTGTGTACCAATGCAGAACTCATTATGGTCTGTTTGRATAAATAATCCATATTTTATAACTGTGCAGGAAGTAATTATTTTCCTATTTTGCTCTCTTTAAGCCAAAGAAATTAAATACTGTGGGTTCATTACTTAAAATAAAATAGATGCAAAATTCAAGGCAAAATGCGAATAAAGTTTTCATTGTTTAGGTAGCAGCTAAGAAATATTTTTTTTCCAGATTTTAATCTTGTTTTTAGCCCAGAATAACTCCACTAAAGTAAACTCTGTTATTCTGAATTTACTTAGAAGCAAGTAGGGCATGAACTTGGCCTGTTATCCTTCATCTCCCTTACTTAACTGGGCAAGTCCTGTAAGTAACCTGCATGCAGCCTTTTCTTTACATGATATTGTCAAGTGTTGATCATTTGGAAAAATAAGGTCTTCAACTGCACATAGAAATTAAAATGCCCAGATTTCATGGTAAGAAAAATTGTGTGCCTCATAGTTATGACCCTATATACGTTAGCTGGAACGTAYGATCCTGCTAGATACTTCTGCTGTTGCTTTATATGGATTTGAAAAAGCTGTGCTGTATTATCATCATGGTAAGGTCATTTTTTTGTGACACTTATAAACTTCCTAGGGCCAAAGTCAACCTTGGCACAAATCCATTAGTGGCACTGGATTTATACCAGGGATGCATATTAGCTCGTTCCCGGTAAATTTATTTTTATCCAGCTCTTTATATTTTACATTTGAAATACAAGTACCTTGAACACCCCCAAATGCATCACAATAAGAAACAGTTTTGGCTCGCGCCAGAAAAACACAGTGATCGTTTTTCACATTTTTCAAGTCAGCGTCAGGAGGATTTGATTATGAAGACTCCTGAATTGCCAAAAACTCTGGTCTCAGTGACCATAAGGGCCATGGATCTTTACAGAAGAGACCCCAAAGCTCACGAGTTGCATTTTAACATACACTTAAGGTTTTATATGCATGTGATTAGTACAGAAAAGAAAAATAATGCAGTCCAGTATTATGATTTATAGACTGCATCTCTTGYGCACTGAGCACTTGCCAAGATGAAAATCTGCCCCCGCCTCTAGTCTCCCCACATCCCACCCCCTTTGGATATTAGAAACAGCTACTGTTTTTGTTGATCTTTTTGACTTCTGAATAGGCCTATTTCAAGGCATAGCAGCATGGGAGCTCAGATTAATAATATACTTATTCAGCCAGTGATACAGAGTGAAACCATTGCTAGTGCRAGCAGGATGGATAGGGTTTCTTTAAATTATTTTCAGGTGCATTAATGCCTTTCTGCAAGAAGAATATGAAGATATTTGGAAATAAATTCAATTTCTGCTCATTGATCGTGTTACAGGTGTGTATGAGGCTTAACAGCAAGATTTTTTTTGAAGACATCTCCCTTTTTGAGAACTKATGTGCTGTGCTCCCATGCAGCGCCTCCATCAGAAAACAGCAACGATAAAGGCTAATTAGGATTAAATCTCATCTTTTGGATAGTGGTTTTGACTTTGGAGGAAAAGGTGTGCTTCRCATTGGGAAACATCCTTTCAGCCCACCAACTTTACACCTCAATGTTGCTAAAGTCACCGTACGCCACCTCACACGTCGGGTTGGTCCTGGTTAGGCCTATGGATGGCCGAGCACCTCCCTGGGCAAGGCTGGGCTCTGGGCTTGCACTACCGAGTCTTGTGCAACCAACCTGATTTTCTTGAAGTCCTAAAGGGAGATGAATTACAGACTGGTTCACTCAGTCCCTCAGAAAAGAGATTTTTGCTCTTTACAACAGAACTGGAAGTGCTCTGGACCTCCAGAAGCCCTGCCATGCATYCTCTTGCAAGCAAGGAGAGACCATCTCTCCATACATCCTTGGCCACCTCCAATGGATCCGGTGGCATCCCTCAGTCGTCTCCTCCTTCATATCCAAGAGAACTGGTCTGCTCAGTCAGTGTTTCTTTTATCAATTGCTTGATAAAGGCGAAGTCTTCATGTGGGCATGATTTCTAGTAACGATAAGTCAGATAAGGTGGAATTTCTTTCCAGAATACTTAAGTAAGCTCTTTAAAATTAATATTTGTTATTCTAAAAATTTGGAGAAGGATCAACTCACCATCCACAGTTGCAGATAAAATGGTATGGAAAGAATTCGACATTTTTACGTTACCTGAGAGAATTCTAAGTTCACTTTCAAGACTAACACAGAGTAGGGAGGAAAAAGAGCCRTGTAGAAATGATCGTTTTAAATATAAGCAAACAAAGTTTTTGCTTGAGATTTTTGACAAATGTTTCAGGCTTTTTGTGAAATTGTTGCTCTCTTTTTGGCTAACAGGACCAGAGTCAGTGACACCTGGGAGAGTCCCAGCTTGTGCTTTTAAGGGAATAGATTTTGCCATATGCTACCATGAAGAATATTATCTGAACCTATAAAAAAACAGTGAATACAATTTTTAASTCACCATCCTAATTTTTGCATTTATTTTAGTTGCAGCAAGCAGCTGATGTTTCTCAGATGAGAGGAGCTCGAGTCATCTCYGCTGAAGATCTCCTGTTTTTAATGCGCAAAGATAAGGTATGTTGTATTTTACCTAATAAGATGCTTATTATCATTGATTGTGTTTGCTTAGCTTGTAGCAAAGAAATCCATAATCATGAAGAGCTTTGCTAAAAGGTATGACTACATTGTGACAGCACAGTAGTTACATTGCATTGTAATCAATTCTCATTTTCTCCATCAACTTCATTAGTTGATGAACTAATGGTTACTAACAGTAACTTTTTTTTTTTTTTTAAATTAGCTTTAAGATGGATGATGTGCCTTAGAGGTGAAAGCAAATTCTTAATAATAGTAATATAGATATGGATCCTTATCCATTATAAGGTTTTCCTAAATATGAAAAATAGATATTGTGATCCTCCTGCTTATGCAGGCTGCAGATGACAGTGTGACTATAAGATTTTCCTTATTCAGGCTGTCAAGAAAACCTATGTATTTTTTTCTAATTGTCTTATTGTACTTTAGCTTACTAAAATCTCCAGATTTAGAGATGATCTTGCTTTTTCTGAATAACAGGTAGATCAACTCAATAGCTAAAACCAGAATTTTCCCTGAGAATCTAAAAGCCAGTTTCTTCAAATTTTGAAATTATCCAAAAAATTCTTTTTGGCTATTTTTATCAGCAATATTTMTTTTCTTTTTTTTTTCTTTTTTTCTTTGACTAGGTGAAATCAAATGACCAATACATATCAAATGGAAATAACCCTAAAATGTGAAAAACAGTTTTAGTGACTTTTTCTGATGTGATCAGTAAGGCTATATTGAAAGCAGTGTTTAAAATTGATGTCAGAGATCATGGAAGTCTCCATWTATAGGTTTGAATTATTATTAAGTTGTGGGTTTGGAGTGCCCAAAGGAAGGAAGCCTGAATTTTTTTGATTTTCTGCTTTCTGAAAGTTAAACTCATTACAGTCTTTTGGTTGGCAACCAAAGTAACAAGGAGCCCAAAGAAATAATTTTTATGTGGAATTACGGCTGACCTTGATGAACTATCCACATATGGATGTTTAACGGAATAAGGAATTTTGAACATTGTAAAATATTTACTGAATACTGTTATAGATTTCTGTGTTTCTGTTTTATAAAGTTGGACTAAATAATAAATAAGTCTATTAGCTAGATATATATTAATATTAATGTATTTTTTTTCTCTTAGAAGAAGCTTAGAAGGCTACTTAAATACATGTTTTTTCGAGACTACAAATCTAAAATTGTCAAAGGCATAGAAGAAGATGACCTCATTGAAGGTAAAAAAACATGACAGTGTTTTGGGTGGAGGTCTCATATTTTTTAAAGGCCCTGAACAGCTTAGTGAAAATTACATATATGTTATCTATAGTTGTAAACACCAAAAAGCTGACTTCATGGTAGTTCTGTTTTAAATCTCTGCTCTTCAATTTAAATTATTTCAAAATAAAGTATTTCCTTCTACCTTCCAAATGATAAGTGAGAGTGTTTTATTTCAGAAGTTTGTTGAAATAAGAAATGAGTGCTGATTAAAAGCCGAATTGATTTCACTATGTTTAATTTAAATGTGACAGCTACAGTGTGCAAGTGGGAGATTCTTGTTAAATTATTATCAAAGAGTTTTGACATTTTTGCAAAAAAAAAAATCTAAATTTATTTAATACTAATATGTGATTTGGGCTTGCAATACTTCATACTTTGAATTTTTCCTTTAAAGAACAGGAAATATTTTTGTTTCCCCATTCAACGAGCAAGACATTCATTTAAACACCAAAGCTCTTTGAATTACAAAAAAAAAATTAATCTCTGCCATATTAACTTCTAGCATAAATATCATATTAATTGTTAGTATAAATATATACAATTRCATCAAAGGTTGAGTTATTTATACCAATAAATGAATTATCATCTCATTTACAAAAAGTTAAAACTTTATCATAACAAATATAAATCTCACCATATCTTTATGGCAGTACATTGCAATCTACATATGCCACTTTTTGTATTTTTAACTTGCTTCTTTTCTTGGAATTTTAAAGCTGTTTTTTTTTTCCCTTACAGTGAATTCTGTGTCTTTGGKACCACTGACATATTAATGTTACATAAACTGTGCACTTGTTGCTTTTACTTACTTAATCTGTCAGTATGATTTTGTCCACTCATTAGAGATTTCATTTGCCTGCGGCATTTTATTTTCACAATAGTTGAAAGCACATTGTTTCATGCAAGCTAGCTGGCAGGATACCTGACAACTGTATTTCTTTAAGGCTTAAGTCCATGTCACTACTTCACTACTTAACAACACATAAATGCTTTTCATAAGTCATTTACRTGCTCACGAAATGTTTACTAAGCACAGTTGATCTGTTAATTGAAGATCGTGTTTTGGCTTTGATAATTTAAACYTTTTTTTTTGGCACTTGAATATTTTCATAGCTATTTTTATCCTTGGAAAAATAGAGATCATTTCACCAGGATTCTTTAGACTTTGAGTAAGGGATGGCCCCTCATCTGTAGTAAGAGCAGTGGAGTTGCACCCTAAAATTTATATGCTTTAGGTTTTAGGTTGTAGGTGATTGAGATGTTCAGATATTGCTTATGCTTTTGGGAGAGTGTGTTCCCTGCATATATTATATTACCCTGAATGATTTTTATGATTTCTTTTTTACAAATAAGGAAGATAATATTGTTCCGTGACTCTATCCACTCTGAATCCTTCAGTAAAAAATAAGAATATATGTGCACTAGATAAAATTATAAGCAGACTTCCTTGATATTCCCGGACTTCCCACCCAGGCTGTCCCAAACTGCTTGTCCCAGTGCTGATGTGACCTAACCTGATACAGCCTCCATTGCCTAGAGGTTGGTGTCTTTAGACTAGATCATTGCTGCAGCCCACTGGTGTCTCCACCTCAGATGTGTCACAACCTGTCCAAGGAGGATATTTCCTACAGAACAACTTCCTTTCGAGACAAACCCTCTTCAAAGAGAAACTCTTCAGAGTTGGTTCATGCCTGGCATAGCCCAATAACTTCAGTTTGCTGGGGTTTGTTTGTTCTTGCCTAGACAAGTTCAACAGTAACAACACCAACAAACGGCAGAAACTTGCTCAAGACTTTCTCAACTCCATTGACCAGACCGGGGAACTCCTAGCCATGTTTGAAGATGATGAGATTGATGATGTTAAACAAGAGCGGATGGAGGTAATTCCTTTCTTTCACTRGTAACTAGGTTCAGGAGAGAAACATGTACATATATCATGCTGTATCAGCTACCTCAGAAACGTGTGGTTATCTTGATTTGGACAACTGCAAATGATTTGAGTTCCAGTTTGCCCTGGGCCAAAACCATGCTAAGTTGTCCAGAACAGATGATAAACATGTATTTCTGATGTCACTRTGGGCTAAAAAGAATGTATTTGTTTAGTAGTATGGTTTTGCTTATGATACAAAAGACAAATACTGATTATACTTATTTCTTTCAAAACATTTCATAAAATTAGAGCTAAAACTTAATGAGGATGCTCGCTCTTCTGTGAGATCTGTGCTATATTGGTGTCTCTGAGGAGCTAGGAAAGCTCCAATCAATTTTCAAGCATTAACAGAGGAGGGCAAGCAATTCTTCAGCTTTGCTTGAAAAGCATCCACTAAGGCTGTCAGGTAACATAGAAAGGTCATTGACCTCATTGAAGGTTAGTGATTGTATCTGCAGTTTTAATTTGATGCAAGAGGACTATATGGGTAATAATAAGCCACAATGTACAAATGAAAGTCAAATAATTTGAAAATACATGACRGAAATTAAGAACAAAATCCACATTACTTTTTCACAGTGTATGATGGTGTTATCACTACATTGTGAGCAGAGGACCCACAGTATCAACGTCAATCCTATCAATGAACAGTTGCAAAGCAGCCAACTGTAGTGATGGAAAAAAAGCCAAACCAATAACAGCGTCGTTTCATACTCCTACTTCATTCTGTAAATGTCTAGTTTTTATCACTTGTTTTATAGTGCTGATACCTCCCTCAGCCTCAGGAGAAAGCCTCCCCATCAGGCACCCAAACAGACATACAGGGAGGGCTTACAGCATCACACCATGAATGCTCTAGTTCAGGTTTTGTTCCCTTGGTGTTAACAGGAACACCGTGTGTCTGTCACTTCGCCTGCTAGTTTAGGGATATATTTCCAACACTCAACTGTTATGGGCAATAATTCAGTTGCAGCAGCAGCCATAATGCTTTCATAGTACACTGCAGGTCTGAATAAACAGTGGAGGGAAAATAACTTTAATAGGAAATTATGGTACCTTAAAAGTAAGCTATCTGCCATGAAAAAAAAAAAAGTTAAAACTGCTTTTAGAAACGGATCAGCTGAAGTTTGTGACTCTTTAATGCATATTATCCCATGAATTGTATGTTAGTTATTTGAAGATTACGGCTAGATATTACTGTTTGTAGAAGTTCACTGTGGGTGTAATTTTTCCAGCGCTTCTCATCAGTATATTCTGTTAGTTCTAACTTCTCCTGTGAACTAAACAAATCTCATGGAGCAGAAAGAGCTGCATACAAAATAAAATATAGTGCAATAAAGTGTAGATGCATTTGGAATATATCCTTCGCTTACATGAGGTTRAATTAATCTCATTTAATTCTGTACACAGACAAAATTAAATGTGACATGTTAGCCAATCTCCCGGACTACTTTTCAAGGACTTGTATGCAGTTCATACCCACCCATCCCTATCCCATCCATTTTTGGATATAAGGGATCATGCACTCAGTTTCAATTAGGGAAATAAAGCAGATATTAGACAYTTAGTATATGTTGATAGTAGTAAACCAGTGACTGAAAAGATTCTTTGGCACTGGAACATGATCCTTGATATTAACATGTCATTTAGCCTCTGTTTGGAGGCTCTGAGGACAGTAGCACAGACACAAGGGGCAGTTCCCTGCCCTGGCATCTTTTAATTTAGGCAACTAAAATTAGATGGCATCATTCAAAAAGCCTATGGGCTCTTGTATTCAGGGAGTATCCAAAAGATGGAGTGGAAGTAGTCAAATCCATCATAGTAATTCAGAAAAAAATGTACAAAGAAAATAAGCAGTTCTTTCAAAACAGCTCTGAGTTCTTTTACTACTACTGTTCTCATTTCACTGATGAAAATTATGCCAATGTAAGTGCTATGTGGGGTCATTACTCTTTAGGGGATATCTGTTCATACAGGGTGTATCAATAACAAGCTGGAATTTGATTTAAAGCCCATATGGAAAGCTTAGTGYTGTAGTACAGACAACACATACTTAATGGAAACTGCATGCCAGAAGACAAACTATGAAGTTTTATATTACTAAGCATGAGGACATGATTTCTCAGAGCATGCTTTCTTTTTTGATACACACGTTGTTATGGTAAACTGAAATCCAGAAWGGTTCAGTTCTAAGTTATTCTATTTCTTATAAAAGGATACTTTCAACTTATTTTATTGATTTTTTCAGATTGTTCTTGATAGAAGCTATGTTTGGGAAGGAATCTTGGCATTTMGTTGAGGAGTGACTTTTATTATTTCATGATATTGTGCCTAAATCTAGTAAGTTATTAATTTTGGAATCCAAGTCTGTAATTGTTAGATTTAAAGATATAGCTCCAGATGAAAACGTTTGAATTGAAGTGTTTGCACGTGAGCTAAGTGTCCAGTCTCCCCCTATAATCCATAGAGACCCAGTCAGTGCAGATAGGGGAGTCCAGAAAGGTATTCATTTGACTAAATGTTTCCTAAAGTTTTTTCAGTGAGCTACCCAGCTCTTTAAATTCCACTGGATGTATTATATTTTGTAGGGATTTTTTCTATGCTGTTATTCCACTTGTATCAAGGCCAGATGTGGAAAGTGGAGGGTGAAAGATTAAAACAAGAGGTTTTGGAGGAGATGTGGAAAAAGCTTGTGTTTTTTGAGAACTAGCAAAAAGGAGTAGTAGATAARCCTAGCAAATACATATGAATAATCCATTTCACTTGCTTTTTCTCTTCTCTTTAAAAATGTAGACAGTTCTGGATGTTCCATTTGTTTTGTGCTGTTCCATGTATAGATTTGCAGCTTGCTACTCTTTATGTCATTTACAGSCTACTTATAGATCAAATGACTGTCTCTATGATATAACATGATGGAATTTCTGAGCAGTTTTCAATCTGCTTCTTGAAGCCTAGGAGATTATGTGCATATACATGGAAGCCTTGTAGAATAAATTTGTTTCAAATTTAGGCGCTCAAAAGTTTGGAAATTGTAGTATTAAAATTGTCAGGATTATCTTAATTTATCATTGYGACTATGCATTTTAATACTCTCTTTAATTACATGGTCATACAACTTTTCTCCACAAAGTCTTGGCTTCATTGAAAGCATGGAACGAACAACTCTTACKTAATGAACTTAGTGTTCTTACCCTGTGTTTAGGTAGATACTGTAGTTATTACAATTTATTCATGTCTTGTCCTCAAGAGAAGCAGGCTGACAGCAGAAATCTTGAAAGGTAATGGTGTCCAAGGGCATAAAGGCCTCTTATTTACTTTAATTATCATGAAAATGGAAGCCATCTGGGATGAGTTGGTACCTAAATGTAGTTTGACTTCATAAGGGGCTGTTGAGAGAATTTAGACCAGCTGGATGACCATGGGTCAGCCCTCATGAAAAATCAACAAATGGCAGCAGGGCAGGCCTAGGACCTTAAGTTTTGAAAAAAAAAAAAAAAAAAAGGTATAGAAAATGGTTTTTTTATTCTTTTCTCGATATTGTCCAAAATAGGCTAAGGCCCCAGTGATGAGACAGGGCAGGCCATACCTTTAAACACACTGTGTCTCATGACACATTCCTATAAAGAATTAAGCCTGCAGTGTAAACCAGTATCATCCTCCCCTATGTGTCTAGCCTAGTAGGAGATTGTATCTTGAATTCTCTGAAAACTAAGCAGTATGCTCAACAGGAGAGGGGAAGTACCTGCTCAATATGATGTGGTTAAAGAGTTCTAAGGTCAACACCAACTACTTTTGAGATCGTTCTGTATAAAGATTTAAATCTAAATCTATACAAAGATTTAAAAGGAGTGTAAATAGGATGTTAATCAAAAAGAATCACTTTATTCTGTAAGCATTTTTTTAAATATGCAAATATGGAGGAAATAATTTCTGCATATCAGGCCACTCTAGTCAGATGAGTACAAAGACAGCAAAACCAGCAGTGTCTTTTTTCATCTCTTGCCTTCCTGAAAGAAGTGTTCTCACTAGCAGAAATCCATTATCAAGGCCTTTTTTTTTTGCACTGGATTGACAAAATCTGTTAGAAAACTCTTTTGAATTATGGCAGGAATGAAAATCTGAAGGATCTCAAGGACATTTCCAGTTCCCATGTTTCAAAGATCAGATTTTCTAACACTATCATGAAGTGGGAGATCAAGTCTTGGGAGCAAGTTCAGAGGGACTCACTTCTCTCTCTGCCTGGGAGCTCCTTGCAAGACCCTGCTGGCTGGTTGGCCTCTTGATGTTGGTCAGGCAGTGGATCTTTTAGCCAGGCTCCATTGTCCACTCCTAAATTTCTTGTCTCCTTCCCTTTAAATATCCCTATCACAAAAAGTCTTTCCTAGAAGAAACTAAGCTCTTTTCACAAATGAGAATAATAGTGGAAGGTTCTCTATGACATGAAATAGAAAGAGTTTTGATGTTTGTTTGGTGGTTGTTGGTGGTGGTTTTTTGTATCAATGACCAAAGAAGAGAAAAGATATCTCAGAGTCATGCTAGATTTGACAGATACATGAGTTTTTTCTGCTGTTTCTTTACAACACCAATATGTTATCCTTGTTGTCCAGCAAGGTCCTTTTCTGCTCTCCTTATCCTGTGGATTTGTTAGGGGAAAGATGGTGTCTTTCCTAGTGTTAGACTGTTTCTACTCAGGAATTCATAATTTATTTTAATTATCTTTATGTGCAAACTTGTTAATACCTTCTTCATAATTACTAAAAGGCCATTCCTATTAATTTGGCATTTACCCTCTGAGAGCAGAGTGAGCAAGTTATATGCCAGAATAGCCCCTTAACAGTATGTAGTTTAAGGACAATATAGGGCCATTTTTAGGCTGCATTCCAGCTAAATATAGCCAAAATGAGCTCAGATCTATTGAAGTGCAAAACTCTAAGAGGAGAAAAAAAATCT